GGGCTTGGAGTCCAAGTTTGGACGGGGACCTGGACCCCGTGACAGGAGAGTGGTGAGTTGGTCCTGCTTGTGCCTGGGGTACAAGCGAGGCGTGTGTTTTCGGGGTACCCAGCTGGGCACATTGATTCGCGAATCGCCTAGCAATCCGGTACGGCTTGTCTAAACTCTGGCATTGTAGTAAGAACTGAAGGATGAAAGGTGATGAAATAGAACTGATTGTTCAACCCTTGCTTGAAAGTAGAACAGATGCTTACATAAAATGGCTAGATAATAAATTAATTGTGACTGCTAATAATAACATAAATAAGGATTCACTACTAGAATTACTTTCTGCAAAAAGAAACCCAACAAACCATAAAGCTTTGCATATCCCTTGTAGTCGGGAAATTATTCCCACTAGTCGGATAAATCTTGCGAGTACATTATGTACTCAGGGTTTATTTACCCCTGTTGCAGGTTCAACTTGAGGAGTACCTATTGTGTGAATGATTCTTCTGGTGGGCATAAACGGATCCTTGTTCATTATCGATAGATGTTTATTATCATTCCGCTGTTTAATATTCCGCACTCTGAATTTGGCAATGTAATAATGAATTTCTAAGAACTCTGGATGTATGAAATAGACTAAGTATTATAACTCGTTCTCATTATTGGATCCTTGGAGAAAATGTGGACTCTTCGGGCTCTCCCTTGGGGTGTGCCCGACGGAACTCGCCCACTGTAGCTCGATTTGGGGTGCTTAGTGTCTGGTGGAAGACGAGCGCCTCCGTAAGTGCGTTATTTCGGACGGTTCTGCCACACTCGCCACCGTCTTTGCTTGGTAGGCTCTGGGCTAGGCCTGGATCAGCCCCCGGTGGTGCTTTGCCCTAGTTGAGTTGAGTTGGTGGTCATCTCCCTTGTTCCTTTGCGCAAATCAGCTTCGAAAAAGCGCCTTTCAGTAAAGTTCTCCATGTATTTATGTTTGTGACCTGCAAGATAATGTTCTTCAAATACATGTGGAACTTGGTTAATAGTAAGTGTATATGTGTTTAAGATTATCAATTTCTCTTCTTTTATGTGTCTTAATTGGCGATCGGATTTGATTGGTAAAGACCGCCAACAGCCTCCCCCCTTGGGCTTTTTTGCTTTCCGCAATATGGTGTCACGCTTTGTTTCGTTGCGCACTTTGAATGTGTTTTCTATGTATTCCATAAATGTCCTTCTGCAAATGGTCAAACACCAAAACTTATAGAGATTGTTAGTTCTAAAGCTCTATTGATGTTCGGGTTGACAGTCGACACTCGTTGTTGCAGGTCCTCAGATTTGACAATAGTAGTTGTCGTATCATTTTCTTGAGTCTGGTAAAGCCTACATTCTATCTATGGCCCAAGACTACTTATCCTCGAAGACACGGACCGATCAGACAGTCGAGGGGAGCGCCGGCTGTGCTATTGAAGTACGAGAACGAGGACCCTAGGTGCTTCTATCGTGGCCACTTCTCGAGGGACCTGTGGGCCGACGAGCCTCGCGTCCCGATGGAAGCATCACCTGTGTCTACACAGCAGTAGATTTTACTTGACTATGCTTTGTAATCTGGGAATTTTTTTCCACACTGGTGTACTGTGCTTTAACGTTATACACTAAAAGTTGTTGTAAAAAAACTATATATCTGGATTGTTTCTCACGAATATCTTACAGCAATCAGCCTGTTTGCTGATTGGTTTCTACGCTAATAAACCCGACTGGTACTGATTTGTTATGAGAGAAAAATATTGTACCATAACTAATAAGTCATGGCTAAAACCATCAAGCAAAAATGTTAAATGATGGCATCGCTGGCAAACAACCGACAGGTCGGTGCAACCTCCTTGAAGAGGAAAGACGAGCCTGCTAGTTCCTATCCTGCCAAAACTTGCGTCTTATTAGTTTACAGTTTTTTTTAAATAAAGGATTCAAATCGCAAAAATAGATAAAAAGAAAATCTTGCTGTTCCTACACTTTTCTGTTATTTTCCTGATACGAAGAAGATAACAACATGGGATCATGCTAACATGCATTGGTACAGATTCTCTCCCACGCGCGGATGTATATTCTTTGCTGCAACTGAAAGAAACCACGGGATCGGAAAAAGGCGGGGAAAGATCGTAAGCCTTTTATACCCGCTCTCAGTTGCATCATGCTACTATCTACAGCAGCTCCGTCATCGTCGGATTAGAAACTCTTATCACCGCCGGTTTAGTGCAGTGATAATGAAACTAGGCAAGTAGACAGAGAGATACTCAGCTTCATCACCACCGGATTGAAACCAGCAGTAAAAACCGATTAAGGGTGCGTTCGTTTGTTCCAGAATGGAGCAAGAAATTATTCCAGGTTATCAACGTTATACAAATTAGTGAAGCATTTCAACTGGAAATCACTCCAGACCTTCATTCCGGAATAACCGAACAAGCCCTGAATCAGAAAAAGAAAATACCCAATCGACAGGGCCGCCAATGTCTGTCTGCGTCTGCGTCTGCGTCTGCGTCCACCGCCCTCATCCTCGCTCTGCCCACTCTCTGATCTAGGCTAGAGCGCTGTGCTGCTCCCTTGCCCTCCCGTTGTGCCCGTGCCCGCGTCCACCACCAGGGGTCATCGTGCCGAGACGCTCTATTAGGTGAGAAGTAATGACGTTTTTTAGAATCAGCGAATTTATAATATCATGGTTCTAATTAACCTATTATAAAAACTCAAGAATACTTAAAAATATGTGTTCAGAACCTACATGACGAGAGACTTTTGGACAATAAGTTGTAGGTGTCAATCGTCTCGATTTCTCTAGGAATTAAAGTATATAGTGGAGAGACCCGAATTAAATGTAACTCAGCTAGTTAACCTTCCTGCTGTGAATCTATTATCTGGAGTTCCGATCTCTAAATCAACATAAATGTTTATTATTCTTTTGATGGCAATTGATATACCTATTAACGGCAAGGTACTATAATGAATTGGTGGAATAGTTATTTTCGTCCCCGGATATTGCTCTTTTGGACTCAGTTTGATCTAGAACTATCAAATTGACCATTTTAGTCCTTAAACCCTATATTTTAGGACTAATTCCAACCATAACTACTAAAGTACAATTTAGTCCCTGTACTTTTCTTTTCGGCTCAACATTATCCTTGTCGTACATGGAACACCAAAATGTCGTACCTGGTTAACTCCAGGACCATCCACTATTTGAGATGAATAGTCATCGTTATCTAGGTACTAGTTTTCTTGGTATTGTCCCAAGCTCAAATCGAGCAGCACACTTTCAACATTTATATCCATATTTTAAAATGATCATAATATAGATCCAAATATCCTCGAATATGAATAATTGTATGTTCGGATCCGATATCATACTGTTCAGTTATAATCTTATTTTTCATTCGGACAACTTAATATTATTTTTATCTTATGAATAAAACATATTATTTTTATTCACAATCAGTAATTAGTCGAGCCTGACGCTAGAAATAGGTAAGGAAAAATTGTAGATCTATTGTTGTTCTTATCAATCAATGTGTTCTCAGTGTACTAAATAGTGTTTATAGTAGTTGTAGTTACTCCCACAAAACCAATATTAATATAGCCTGTTTGGCACAGCTCTAGCTTTGAGATCTACGAGGGATCTATAGTTCGTAGACTAAATCAAAGTGTTTTAAATATTTTCATTTAATCTAATATATAGATGAAATTAGTCATGTAAATGCACTTAACAGCATGCAACGGTCGCTACACCGGTACCTTAAACACAACGACTGACTTGGAGTGGCTCAAGGGGGTGTACAACGGTGGGCAGTCAGTTGCTAAATGTTATAGCGACGGACTCCTGCAGTTGCTAATGAAGCCGTTGTTATATGTAGATAGCGACGGACATGATCTTTAGCGACCAACAGTTCAACGGTACAACTTTTTAGCGACCGACGTTGTGTTGGAGAAACGAGAAATACCGACTGACTATCTGTTACAAATTTTTAGCGACCGACCGTCCATTGATATTTTGGTACTTTTAGTGACCCACCTCCGACGCACTGGCCCCGTTCGCTTCGCTGAAAAAACAAGCCGAAACACTGTTCCGGCTGATTTGTTGTGAAAGAGAAAACACTGTTCCGGCTGAAAAAACAAGCTAAAAAGTACGGATTATAAGAGAAGCGAACATGACCGCTATTTTTGGGTTGTGGTGTAGTGGGTAGATAGCCTACAAAGCGGGGCCATATAAATGTTAAAATTACAAGGTAATATTTAAAATAACACATTAGAATTATTATTGGTTGCTAAAGAGGTTTAAGATGTCCACTAACGATTTTTTTCATCCAATTATTATTTTTTCTCTAATATCGTGGGTGGTGCTGGAGCTTAGTAGGTAGGATGGTGCATCGTTCCACTAGGACGATAGATGAAGTTGAGCTCAAAAGAAAAGATTAGGGATGGAAACACACTTTGATAGTTCATGAATAAAACTGAGTACCAAAACGCAAGGTTTGAGGATTGAAATGGTCACTTTGATAGTCCTACGACGAATTTGAGCCTAAGAGTAAACTTTGATGATTGAAATGGTCATTTTTAAAGTTTAAGGGCTAAATTGAGTCTCATGTGATAGTTGAGGACTAAAATAACTATTTTGCTTAATGAATTTGTTAATCTTAAGGGCCTATTTGATACTATCCCATCAAACAGAGAGCCTCTTAGTGAGGCCAGTATATAAGACTAAAATAAACTCGTTTTCAGTAATCACCGTCGTCTAACGCATTGATTTACATGGTGTCCCCACGCGATGGATGATGCAAGGATGCGTGTTTCACATGGTGTTCGCCGCGTGGCAGTGGGCACTAGCGCGATGTACCTACCACGAATCGAAGCAATCGCGCCCGTTTTTCATGGCAAATCACACACCTGTCACTTTTTTCTTGTTTGACCAGATTTCGTACGAACACGGCAAATTCACACCCCAGAACAGTAACAGTACGTACAGGTACAGCTGACGGATCGGTCACACGTCACACGCTCTTTCTGCCGCTGTCGACCCGTACACGTACTACCGCGGCGACGTCTGGGCGCGCTCCGCCACTCCCCTCGCCGTCCGCCTCCGCCTCCTGCCCGCGCGTCCTCTTGGCGCACGGCGCGACGTCGGACGACGACGACGTCGGAGCTGGCTCCTCGAAGTCCTCCAGCCTGAACGCCGGCCTCCACGGCGGCTCCGAGCCCCGCAGCCGCTTCACCCTCGCCCCACCACCACCACCAGCGTCGACGCCGTCGTCCGCCACAGTGCCGTCGCCGGAGCCCGACACGTACGCGCCCCGCATGGCCCGGATGTTGTCCAGAAGCGCGTAGAACCTCTCCACCTGCTCGTCGTCGTCCTCCTCCTCGCCGCCGCCGTTGCTCTCTCCGCCTGGGGATGCCGTTGCCGCCGCGGGCGCGTCAGCCGCACCCGCAGGCAACGTCGCCTTCCTAGCCCCTCGCGCAGAAGACGTGGCGGCGCCGGCGTCGATCCCGGCAGGCACCGGCAGCACAGCCTTCCCGCCGCTGCCTGCCTTCGGGGTCGCGGCGCCATCCATGCTGGGTGCTGGCCACGCTGTGAGCTTGCTGCAGCTCGGGGTCGGGGTTAGTGTGGTCTTAACAATGGCGTGAGTGTTGAGCTGGTTGCTGCTGGATGCGGAGAGTGGCGATGGCGATGATTTGATGAGATGTCGAAGAATGGCGAGGGATTTATAATAAGGATCCCTTGCGTGTTTCACGAATCGCGACGGGGGAGTAGTAGAAGCGAAGAATATGGCCCTATGTGGCGCACGCCAGCAGCATGCCGCGCGTTCCTTCTTAACGCTGGATGCGTGGATTGTATTTGTATTGTTCCATTATTAACAATTACCAGCATTAAACCATCGAAGAAACGTGCTAAACGTTGACGCTGCTGGATGCTGAGGGTCAATCACTTGCTAATTGAACGGTAATTGCACGAAGCATAGGGCATTCCGGATTAGCCGTCTACCTAAGCTGCTCTGTGCACTGCACAAGGTCAAATCGTGCTACTACTCCTACCCAAGTTCAAATCTGCATTCGCATTTGGTTTAAGATGGAATACTCACATCGGTCAAAAATATGTGTCGTGTCTTTTTATTATTATTATACACTCTTTTCAATTTGGGTTTGTGAGCGTGTGTCTCTAACATGTAAAGAATTCTCTAAGGTTTTTTTTCGTGACCGTATCCTTGAGACACTTATTTATTAAGAGGAAGTAGAAGTCTTAGTACAAGTTGTGTCAACGGTAATCCAAAGATTACCATTTGACGCAAAGAACATGAAGAACAAGCAGGGGAGGCCCTTAGCCACGACACTCAACAAGCAGACTCCTGAGAAAATTAAAGACATCGTCACGATGGTTGCCTACAGAGAAACTAAACATGTGGTGGTAAATCATCCACCTAAAGGAGACAGACATGGACATCCACAAACATCAGTGAAAAAGCATCCACCGAAGGGGAGCCCCAAATGACCACGGTGGTAAAGCATCAGCCACAGGAGCACGATCCCGATAGCAAAGCACCAGCGGAGACCGAAGCGACGCTGGCAGCAAAGCGACCAACGGTGGTCAAGTATCCGCCGAGAGAGATATGGTAGTAGCAAAGCATCTGCCACAAAAGTTCAATGACGGTGGCAAAGCATCCGTCAAGACGACCCAAACGTAGGACCAACCATTGCGAAGATGGACGATAAGCACACGTAGAGGCACAACAAGGAGCTTCAACGTAGGCCGGCAACTCTTGAAGGACCACGAATAGCGGTGAACTCGTGGGGCAAGGGCAGAAGGCCACAAAGACCAAGGTACGAGACTAGAACAGTGGTCCTACAATGATGTCTCCAAGGAGGAACATGACGCCGGGGCCGCCATCGCCACCAGCTCCGGCTAGCGGCCGAACATGGCTTTCACCCACGAACCGCCACTGCAAAGGGGCCCTGCCCAATCCACCCGTGTAGCCACACAGGAGCGAACCCCAACCCTAGATCCGACGGTCAGGTCCGATGAGGAGTGGTTTTTCAGCGACACCTTCAAGGATCGGAGGAGCATGACGCCCGAGGATGCCATCGCCGTCGACACCGGCAGCAAGTTGAGCAAGACTTTCGCCAAGAAACCACCATGACAGTTAGGCGGCACGTCACCCGGGCAGCACTGCAGCCAGACGCCCTCGCCACAGCATTGTGAGACCTCGGCAGGGACACACGGAGCACCACAACCCACGCGGCCCAGCAGACAAGGACACCGAGGGGCCCATCCGCTCCAGACGAGCACCAGGGAGGGGGTGCTTGCGGCCGTCGCTCGCCCGCCGCTGGCCCGTGTCTTTTAAAAAACTGCACTAAAACATTTTAATAAACTCACAATAAATTGAGAAAATACAAATATCCGTTAATGATTTTTGTTGCAAAAAAATATCTAAAATTTTCTAATAATTTCAGCCTTTTGACTAACATGTTTTTAATACGAGAGAATTTATAAGTTTTTAGTGTTTTACTAAAGCGTCTTGAAGAATTGAAAACATGTGATGTACATGGTTGTTGCCTTTGCTCAAAATCTGAAGAATTATATGTGACTGACATTGTCTCAATCTGGCTTCTTGTTCTACTATATTTGATACATACACATTTGTTTGCATCGGCACCGTGCTCCGCCGCTGTAACATTTGTTCATATTTGTCCGGTATCCATATCCAACTATGATTTAAAATGGGAACAAAAACAAATACAAGTGTGAAGAATATCGGTCCATATCCCAAATGGTTATACCTTACCCGTGCAAATTACTATAAGAATGGTACGGTTACCACCGCGATATATATATTAATGGCCCCGTTCGCTTGGCTGAAATTAGCTAAAAAAATAAGTCAAAGCTAAAATGTTATGAGAGAAAAATACTGTTCCGGCTGAAAAAAAAAGCCGAATAAACCGGCTTTTAAGGTAAGCCAAACGGGGGCCAATAACGCGAGCCAATGAGCCAACGAGCAATACGCAATGCATCGAGTGCCATCCTGTCGAATTTATTAAAAGAGAGCAACACGCTGATTACTTATTTGAGCAGGCAGCAGCTGGAGATGGTGGTGGTCAGTGCCATTATCTCCCTTCCGTGTCCAATTTATTAGCACGTATTCCTTGCGTCGCGTTCTTGGCCTAGCTAGATTATTATACCAACAATTATTTATTACTAATCCGTTGTAACGAAAGTTCCCTGGGGTCGTCCATTCCCAATCCAAGTATAGTGGTATTATTGGGCATCGCAGATCTCCACGACAGGCTGGTCTGCTCGCAACCATAGAGAAACCTCGACGAAGAGAAGACAGAAGAGAATATGCCGTCGTGCTCTGCTCCTTGGGCCTTGTCTAGATGCCAAAAATTTTGGCAAAATAGTACTATAGCAATTTTTGTTGTTATTTAATAATTAGTGTCTAATCATAGTCTAATTAGACTTAAAAGATTCGTCTCGTTGATTTCGTCTAAACTGTGTAATTAATTTTATTTTTTATTTATATTTAATGTTTCATACATGCGTCTAAAGATTCGATGTGACGAGAAATCTTGAAAAATTTTGCAAAATTTTTTACAACTAAACTGGACCTTGCTTCTGGTGACGACTTGGCTGTGACGTCATCGCCAGATGCATTAGTGACGACCTTCGCACGACGCCGGTCGGTCAGAACTCAATCAGGATTCAGGAAACCCCCGGGCCCCACTGACGGGCTCAGGATTTCTCCCTTGGGTATTCAAAAGGGGTGTAATTTTTTTTTGACAACATGAACTCCCAAATCCTAATATTTGGCATATATAACACCACATAGTTGTAATTATACCAAATCGCAGCTCTTTGCAAGAAAGTCTTTAAATCGGTGGTACTACTCTTTTTTCTCTTCGTATTTGAGACCTAAAATTAATCAGGAGATCAACTAAGTAATTTGGAAAAAAAATTCTGGCAACCGATTCACAAATTGCTCGCTGCTGCTTGTCGCCGCCCTGCCGGATGCGGGATGCCGCCGGTCCCTCAGACTGTCCGCACCGCGCGTCTGGAACCGAGCCTGTACTGGAAATATATAGAGGAAAGGCTCGCACCGCTGCTCTCTATTTCATCCCCAATCCCTCCGTTTGCTACAGGGCATCTCCAAAGCTAGCGCAGTGGGAGACGAACGCTATCACGTCCACCACACCAGCAACGCTCCTCTCGCGAGTTGGTGAGAGAGAGAAAGGGGGAGGGAGGAGAATAAAATATGGAAAAGTAGGTATAAAGTATGGAATAGAGATAACATGGGTGCGGAAGAAATGGATATAGAGTAGAGAATCTTGATGACTAGGATCGAATATTCCTTTTAGAGTATGAAAATAGAGGTTGACGAGTGCGGATAGCCTCAGGCCCGGGCACAGCTGCAGTACCGCACAAGGACAGGGCACACCGCCGTGGCGCCCGCCGACGCGCCGTGCCCGCCAGCCGGTGCCAGCTCCCGGCTCCGGCCGCCGCTAGCAAATCGCAGCTAATGTTTGGGGAAAAGAATTTGCGCTCGTGCAGGACGGGAAACAGGAGTCTGTCGGTCACTCACACTAGTGGGTGCGGTAGAGAATTTGGGCCATTGGGCCTTTGGGTTGGGTAGGAAAAAAAGAGTAGGAGCTGTGATTTTGGGCTAATTTGCTGTACATATGTTCGTTTAGAGTTTCTTCAATATACATATATGTATATAATATATATGCTATATGTATGATTTTTTTTGTCAAAATTTTGGGTATTCAACTGAATACCCTTGAATCATGCTAGGCCCGCCCCCGGGCCCGGGCTCCATCTCCATGATTCGTGGTCCGGTCACACGTCTCCAGTCGCTTGCGCCGAAAGCATCACGGCGGCCTTCCACGACCCAAAATTATTAAAAAGGTCACTGCTGCTCCTGCTACCTCCCCGGTGTTTCAGCGTTGAAGCCAAAGTCTGCTATCAGCCTATCACCGGGGCAGGAGTCGACAGCATCCATGGCATTGAAATCGCAGAACTCACATGTTTTGCTTTGCAAGCAAGATGACAACGCATTCTTTATTTATTAGCAAAAATTATGCCACATTTGTATCTTTATTTATCACCCACTCCCTTCGTTCTAAATTATAAGATGTTTTTATATTTTTTTAGATATATTGCTTTTACTATGTATCTAAAACCGTGTATATCTAAGTGTATAGGAAAAACTATGTACCTAAAAAAATCAAAACGTCTTGTAATTATTTAAAAAAGTGAGAATAATAATAAAGGATTTGTTTGGTTCTATAACAATATTTACATTATGGAGTACCACCAAAGTGTATAGCGTTTTGATTAGAGGCCTGTTGGGATACTATGAACGAATTGATAGTTACATAAACTTTGTCTTAGTCCATCCAAATAGGCGGATTAAAAGGTAGACTAAACTTTTTTTTTAGAATTACATGGTACTACCTCTATCCCCAAAAGAATGCAACTACGGGTTGCGTGCCAGTTAAAATGCTTCACGTTTGACAAGTTTCTATTAAATAATATTCACATTTATAACTTTAAATTATTTTT